TCTCATTGCAGTTTTGAACACAGTKATACTGTCTTTGTTTTTTYSTCATTTCTGCACASCTGAARCTWCACAAGCAGTTTGGARAAAGGAGAAAATTTCCAGTCCTTCCGCTGTAGCTAATTATGCCAGTTGTGACAGAAGAGTACATTGGCTTGTACAGAAGCCTTCAGAGTAGTCACTTAGAGACTGCCGAGTGTGACAGATGACTGTTCAACATATGAGAATTGAAGATGAGGTTGTGCCTTCTTTGCAGTGGGTGGTTTAAAACTGRTTTTAAACTTCYGCAGAAAGCTTAGGGAAAAAAATCTYCACTTCCTTTTATTAGKAAGGAGAGTTAMCTTCTTACTCCCAGCATTAGRAATTATACAAATATGCARCTCTGTCTATTTTGACACTCTTCAATGCATTTGTCAATAGTGTCTGCAATACTTTATTTTACTTTTCAGGTCTCTCTTCAGCGTGCAACTACTTGCTCTGGCTTTTGCTCTGACGTCTCTCTTGCTTCTCCATGCTAAAGGTGCTGCTGCTACGATTCTAGTTTCTCTTTCCTCCTGCCTATTTCTTCAATGGGCTTTTGCAATTATATTCATTTGTTGCTATCTCAGTGGTTGTCCTGTAGTGGTCTGGGTTCCTGGAGCTCTTACTCTTTACTTGCCTCATTTGGTTTGTCACCTTAAATGCACTCCCCATACCTACTTTTCTTAACCACTTAATGCCTTGTCTTTGACTACATTTGGCCTACAGTACAGGGGCATGTTGTGGTTATTTGTTGCTTTTTAAATGGCAGGCGGTGACCTTTAAAGTCATCTGAAKAGCAGGCCAACTTATTTTTTTCTGTCTTTCCTGTGCAGTGTCTGTTGACTTATTTATATCAGACCTATACACTGAAACAGCACTGGTTTTCAAAAGAGCATTGAAAACTCTTTGCAATTCCCATCAGTCTTCTGTCTCAGACTTGGCAATATTTGGAGTCTTTGTTTTTGAGAAATAACTGCTAGAATTGTGTGAATCTGATATGCCTTTGCTTTAAAAGCTTCTAGTTCTCATATTAGTGTTTATACTTCTATTTTGAATTTTAAAACTAAAATCTGACAGCTGAAATTGGGTATTATCTGACAGCTGAAGTTCATTATTAGTCTCTTGAAATGAAGCATGTAATGCTATGCTTAAGTACTGTTACATGCTGAATTTCTATCCATTCTTATTTAATATGCTTGAGTCTGATAATATGACTGCAATTGTGTTACAAGGAAGCAGTCCTGTTATGCTGGTTTTAGGTTAAAGTGGCATGATTCTGTATCCCCTGACTATTGCACAGGGATGAGTTGCACACTGCTGCTTCTGCATTTCATAGCAGTAAACTATAACATCTTCAAGGTTCTTTGATCCAGAAATCATCTGTGCTTGGCTGAGTTTCTGAGTAACTTCTCCTTCAAAGAAGCTGCYGTCCTCTTTCTTCATAAAGTTTGGGGGAGAGGTACAAGAAATGCAGTTTTGCTGAAGTTTTGTTCTCGCAGCAAAGGTATGAGCTCAGATTTTTTAAAGAAAGAATATTTTGGTGAACGAAGATGSCAAGGTCTTTTAAACCAGCATTCAATTTGCTGTGTAAAGTTGTACTAAATGCAAAAATAAACAACCTATAGCTGTTGCTTTCGGACTGGCAACCAGATAAGCTGTTGGTGTCCAGTTACTTGACAAAAAGGTAGCATGAGGAATAATAGGTAGCTGTTTCCCTGCAACCTGATGATACAGGGTTTGAAAAGGTCTGAACACTGCTCCATTTAGCTGTAATGTCTCTAAGAAATGTAGAGCCTTTGCTTTCATTGTCATRGCCCAGTCAGATCTCTGTTCCAACTGCTTGTACACTTCTGTGATGGTTGTTGTTGTTGTTGTTGTAGTAGAATAATGCTTTGAGATAATTGTGTGCTGTAACCTCACTGTACCAGTACTGTGYCAGGGACAAAATAAAATCCAGGTTCTCTTTGGGAGAGGTGCATTTACCATCCTCCAGGATATTCTTACCACACAGAGCTGGTTTGTGCCACTAAGAGATTGAGAACAAGTATTTTTTTCTTTCAGTTGTACTGGCAATTAGGAAATAATGTACATAGTTTTGTGTCTGTCCTGAAAAGGCATTGTTGAAGTGCTCTGAAAAAATAGGCCATCAGGCTGGCTGTTTGCATTATCAGCCTGAATGACTGGAAGAATTGGATTACTTACATGACACTGAGAGAGCACTGTGCAGCGCTTGCCTTAGGAACAATTCAGGTCTCCACATGCAGTTATTACCTGCTGGCCAACTAAAACCTAAGATTAACTAAAGTCTTAAAGACGTCTCTAGGAAAATCTTGTGGCAGTTGTTCACTTGATGATTAGCCTCCTGTGCTTCATAGGCATACACTAGAAATTAGAGCCAAAGCCAAAACCCGCATCTCTAATAACTGAGGGCTGTGCACTTGCTGGGTGGCAGTTTTGGAAAGGAGTCCTGGTAGGTTTTGTAGATGTGCTGTAAACAGGTTGGACTCTTGCTTTTGTAGCTCATGGATGCTGTGTCCAATGTGTGTGTCAGCTGTCTTCCAAYCCATGCTAGACTCTAGTCCTTGCAGTTAAGATGGGCAAATGATCCTGAAAACCAGTTTGACTGGAAGAGTGCTGAGGGAATAGGTATATTGGATGCACTTAACTAATATGGCAACAATGGATCAAATCAGTAGGCTTTTGTATTGAAAAGGAAAGCAAGAGCATGCTCGATATAGTAGCTAGCTATTGCCCCATTTCATTGTGTGTGTCAATACTATTAGGGGCTGCTTGTTTATTAGCATTTCTGGAGCAATTTCTGTCATGGAATGGCACAGTTCAGAGAACAGAAAATGGAAGCTGGGTCAGTGATCCCATCCCCCCATACCCCCTCCTTGCATTGTCTTGACAATGAATTCAAGTATGGTTGTGCTATATGGAGGATCTGTTGCTGGCCTGTCAGAAAGGTGAAGTTGTTTGGGATAATTGCTAAGTGTCATTTTTCTAATGGGGTTTTCCAGCCAGGTGCTTTGGTGCTTTATGTTCCAGGCTGGTCAGTATTGTTCTGATTTGAACATAACAGGATGAGAAGTGCTGTTCACACTATTTCAAGGAGGCTGGGAAGATAAAAGGTGTTACTGTARAAATCTTTAGTCACCATTTTTCCCTCAAGCATGATAGCAACTTCTGATTAAAAAAAWCAAGTTAATTTTATTGAGCATGTTTGTGTTTTTCTTCCTTGCATGGTCATCTAGTTCCCTTGGGGGTTCAGATAAAAGAAATGAGAAAGATCAAAGCTGGAAAAGCTCAAAGCAGCATTGTTTCCAACATCGACCAGGTTGGCTACAGCTCTAGTTGATGTTGAAAATCTCCAAGGATGGAGATTGCATAGCCTCCRAGTGACCTGTTCCAGTGCTGCTCTGCTCTTCTGGCACACGAACTCCTAGCATAAAGTAGYAGGAGAGAAGGAGAGAGAAGGGTTATGCCCTGGATTGCTGGTTAAATGTGCCGCTGTGCCTGGGCTGGGATTTGCAGTGGAGCCCCTGGCTGCTTTGTGGCACCCCTTCACGGTGGGCTCTGGCCCAGTTAAAATCGCTGTATGCCTCCTCTGCCCCGACAGTTTTGCCCCCTTAAGTAGTTGCCTATGGAATCTGTGTATCTGCTGAAAGGGTTTTCAAAATTCAGCAATGGCTAGGCCCGAGCTGTAAGGAAGAASTTGTTTCCTGTAGTCTGTTCGGCAGATGACCTGAGACCCCCAGGTTTACCAATAGAATCCAGCTTGTGTGTGTTCTTTCCTTGCCGTAGCACAGCCTCAGGAGATTAGCTACATCCATCCACACTGCAGGACACGTGGCTCATGTTTGCTTTGTGTCCCAGACTCCAAGACACAAAGAAGAGCTACAAAATACAAGCAGGTCCCAAGTTTCTGAAACAACAGCTGCAATTAAGATTTTGATAATGGTGCCACATATTTTGTCTGAGTGAATGACACAGGAAAGTCATTTGAGACAGAGTTGGAGACCTGTGTGGCAGAGAGAAATTGGTGCAGTCTAATGCAGCGTTACATCTGTGGGCCAGGCTTGGGAGCAAATTGTCCTGTCTGCTTCACTTGGGTTTCCTTGACAGAAGTCACTGCGTTGCTGCCAGGTTTTCCTTCTGGAGTGAGCTACTCTTTTGCTTGGTTGCTGGTGGGGGACTGGGGCTGGGAGTGAAACAAGAATCTGTTCAAACGCTACGTAGCTGTTGGTGTGGTATAAAGGGTCTATACATAAAGCATAAACAGCGTTGCTGTAATGATTATTCAAGTGCTGGAGTTGCCATGTCTTAACCTGGGTTATATTACTTAGTATCACTTAGGTGCTGCTTTGTTTCACTGCCTCTTGTAGCATTTATCTTTTACTTAATGTGCTTTCCTTTTCATAAGGGCTACCATTTGATGGGGTTGATGTAGTACTGARCACAGAGGGAATCAGATTGCTGATTAGAACTTGCAGATACAGCAGTGAAAAAACAGAACTTACAGCAACACATTGTAATATTTTTCTTTGATGCTGTTTCAGTTTAAGAAAACTRAGCACTTGATCAGGCTCCATGACCTACACTTGGGTACTTAGCTCTCTCTTTGTTGATTTATTCTATATGAAAGCCAGGTCTTCATTATTTTTGCCCTAATTTACCTCAAGCTGAAATGAGAGGGTCATGTGATATTGTAGGTGTTTCTGCAGGGTTGTTTAAATACCATAGAGGTAATACAGTGGTGGCCKTTGCATCTTTATCATAAGGGCATTGGTACAGGTGGTGAAGTGAGACATTTTCAGCCTTTTTTGATCTGCAAACTTTCTGCCTGCCAAGCCCATATGAAAAAAAAAAAAGGTTTTAATGCATAACTGAGCTGAGGCAACTTGTTGTAATGATGAATTTTACACTCCTGATAAAATATTAAGTTAAAGAAYTAATTACAGATGTTGCTTTCTCTTTTCAGTACATCAATTGTGGTAACCTGGAACAGCTACTAGATGGTAACCAGCATCTGCCCTGGACAGTGAGGGTGAAACTGGCATATGACATTGCTATGGGGATCAGTTATCTTCACTATAAAGGCATTTTCCACCGAGACCTTACATCCAAGGTACTGTTTATAAAATTAAGGGAACTTCTTAATGAACGTACTKTAACTGATTGTTGGCTTTTCTTACTTCCTCCATTCCATGCAGAGAATTGCTATKATAAAATGTGTGATCTAAGACATTTTGAGAAACAAATTGAAATGCAGTTTATAGAATTAAAATTTTCCTCAAAATATGTTCATAGTTTGTATGGAAGCTAGAGAAATTATAATCCTGAAGGAAGGTSATCCCTTAAATGAGTTCAGATTAGGATTTCTCATAAAGCAGCTGCAGTATTTTTTAGTTCTGAATTGTAGTTCAGTAAAGTATTTAAATCCCTGGATAATTAAGCACAACAATCTAACATTTGGAACAGGTTAATCATATAAAGAACCCAAATTGAGGAGATTATTACTAATGCACTTTAAAATCTCCTTATTGTTTTTATTTCCCCTTGTATTTCACAAATCTTCTGTAGGAAGAGTGACCTTTCATTACTAATTCTGCGTGAAATGTGTACAATTCTTGTTGATGTTTCTTTCATTTTTAAAGTCAGTAAGATCAAAATAGTTCTCCTAAAATTTTCAGATTTTGAAATTTCTTCCAGAATAATGTGTCAGTGGCAGAGTTTTCAATCGACATAGATTTATTTTTTTTCTAATTGCTTTGGTGGCAAATTGCATAATTTAGTTGGCTGCAGTAACTGGATAAACTCAAGCTCAGCTAGAAATACCGACACGGGAGCACTAAGATGTGTGAGCAGATTGTCCCAGTATTCACACTGGCTCTTACCCATTGCAGCCCGTGCTGAGGGCTTTGCTGTCCTGTCTGTCCTGTTGTGTGGTGTTAATGASCCCCTTCAAAATTGTTCTTAAGAAGACTTCATCAGGTCACTTCAGTCAAAATATCCAGAAGACTGTTAGACTTAAGATTAGAAACAGTTTTTAAAAGTAAAACAACAGAGTGTGTTTGCCAATGTGGCTACTAGTCCTCCATCCAGTTTTAGGGGTTTTTTTAAGGCTTTCTCAGTGCAGTGTTAAACAGATGTAGAATGTGCATTTAGTCAAGGTGGAAAAAAAAGTTCAACTTGTAGATGAAAGAAGTATTGCAGTGAAGTCATAAAATACTTTCTTGGCTGTCCTTTCAAGTGAAAGGTGCTGAATTCTTCAAGGAAGAATATCAAATTTATGAAAAATGCCCAGACTTGGAGTCATGTCACTTTGACATGATGCACTCAGAAAGCTCCAYTTCAGTCACCTTGGAGTGTGCAGACAAGAGATGCATGAAAATATCTGTAAAGACAGCTTGGTGTTCCCCTTTCTTTTTCGGTTCAGGATGTATGCTAGTGCATTTAAGAGTAGTTACTGCAAGGAACCAGAGTAACTAAGGAGAACTCAGTGCCTGCAGCATTTATCGTAACACGTTCTGTGATGGCCARTCATATGAAAATCCATTTCCTGGGATCCCTGTGAATGCCTTTGTTCCAAGCTTTACATAACTGTATGTCATTCTCTGGAATGCTGGAGCTGCCCTGCCAGTGCTTCAGTGTTATCCATTGTTGAACGCCAATTGTTTAGAAAGCTGCACCCGATCCTGGCAGGAGCAAACTCAGCAGAGGCCACGGGAAGTAGTTAAGGTTATTTAGAAACAAATGAACAACGAATCAGACCCTAAGAATTTATTACCAATTATTCTATATTTGGATGGTTCCTAGCATTGAAGTTACAGTGTCTTTGTGCATCACATTGAAAGCTATCTGCTTCAAGAATAATACAGAATTCTACTGATGATAGCTATAGTCTGTATTTCTCAATTTCTTGGGGAGTTCTGGGTTGGGTCTTTGGTTTGTTTTTAAAATTGGTTGGTGTTTTTTTAAACGTGGTGTATGCACTTTCCTTGTTATGTTTTGGAAGGAAGTAGATGAAACACTTGGCCTTCTACAATTCATTAATTTTATTAGTGTATTAAAGTATTAATGAAATAAGCTTTTAATCTATTGGGCAAACTTTTGGGCAAATGTTTGCCGTGGGTGGCTTAGTTCTAAAAAAGTCACTTTGTTCCAAAGCAAAACAGTGAAGATAACCATGGGAATAATCTATCACCAAAATTTTCAGTTCTCAGGCTGTGGCTTTTGGCTACTGCTTGAGAAGATGCTTTGGCTTTTCCCAAGTTTGTACTGGTGATAGGATAAGTTGTCTTCATTCTTACTGATAAACAGTGTGTGAAAAAGCTGAAGGAAAATGTGATGGACTCTCTCCTTGGGAGAGAACTTGTGATCTGGATTGAACAAGGGCAAATTCAATACTCTTCCGTATTGTCCTTCTTTCTTCAATAAACTTCAGTAATTGATGGGATGTCTTTATTATTCAAATGAAGGCAAAGACAAGGGTTTAACATCTGCAAAAGTCAGAACAGACTCTGAGTTTGTGGAGTGGGAGAATGGGGCATTTTTCTATGAAACTTKCTTGCCTTGACTGAAGTGTGAACAGAATGAAACTGAGACTTTCTATGCAGGAATGTCTCCATGCTTTACCTGTTACACTTTGGACAATAGCCCACTGCAAACTGTCCCTCTAATACAAATTTTACTATAAAAATAATTTGTTATTAATTTAGACCCATACTTCTACCTTTCTGTTTCTGGCAAACCTCTAATTCCTGCAGCTTCCTGCAGTGGATGGTGTGATATATAAATTTTACCTTGTCAGTTAGGACAGGAGAGTTGTCTTGCTCTTAGCATTCTATGTGTCAATGTATTTGATGCCTAACAATTTAAAGGAAAAGTTCCTGTCCCCTGCCAATCTRAGATTGAAAAATAAGTGGGTCGGGCCATTAGTGTAGAGCAGGGTGATCTCTTTTCCTAATTGCACCATGTGGAGAGTAGCAGAACAGCATTGATACTGCASGAAGCCAGAGGGAAGAATGGTAGAGTAGAGTAGATGTAGGTCATTATAGTCGATGTGACAGCCCACGGGGATGTCAGCCCTCATATCCCACTGGTGCCCTTCCCGATGTCCTTCTGTCAAAAAGAGAGGCAGCGCTTGTTAGAAGGGATGTGCTGCCCCGACAGCCGGTGCTTCCCCRTGTCATGAGCAGCTCTGTGCCTGGGTTCTTGGCCTGGGCTGCTGTAGCTGATCAGGCTGAGCTGCCCCGCTTGATAGCAACAGCCTGGCTTGAATCTGTCAGAAGGTACAAGTGGTCAGAYTGGCCATTTGCAGCTTGCACAGAGTAGGGGTGTGGGCAGGGTGACTTGACTTTTTACAAGCCAGGAAATGTGGTGTCCGCACTTTTGGCTTGTCGTGAAAGGATTTACATGGAATTAAGCCATAGATGGGTTCTGACAGCCAACCTCGGCTTATTCCCTGTCCCCTATCTGTATCACCACAAGCCCCATGAAATGTTTTTCATTTAGGCCTCGTTGAATGTGYAGAATGAGGATTTGCATCCTGGAATCATAGGAATTTTCTTCATYTCTCAGTGATTGTCAAGGAGCTCTGGTTATGAATTTTAACTCTGAAAGTCTTGGTCATAGAAGATACAATCATTAAAACGGAAATCATACTGTGAAAGTGTTTCAGTAGAAGCCACTGAATTGTGATGTAGTTTTTTCTTAATCTGACTTGGTTTTACAATATTCCAGCAGCTGGAACCTACARTTAAAATAGCTGTGTTTGGGAAAGCACAGGGAAGAAGTGTCCAGTCTGTAAAAAGAATATGGCAAAATCCTTTGTACCTCACTCCTCAAAACAAATGTCTTACTGCTACACAGAGAGTTTCTTCAACAGCTTGTTTACACTGTATTTGCACTGCATTCAAACCCTGCTCTGGAAGCACTGTTGATTTCCTTGTCAGCTTATGCCAATGACTRCCCTAATACCAGTGAAATTATTCTTACAGTATTTCTGAGATGAGGGAGATGAATAAGCTCAGCCTTATTATAACAGATTGAAGGCAAGAATATTGGTGAATATTGGGTAGTGCTTTAAGACTTTGTKTGGAGTATTTGCATTTTACATCTGTAAGTTCAAAGCAATATGTTCACTGACCTCAGAGGCTTGTTGTTGGAAGCATTACAGCACTTATAAAATAGTCAGGTTTGACCCCTGGAGGCAGAGAAAGCACAAGATCAGTAAGAATCTGTGAAAGATTTTGCTAAAGTAGCATCCTTGTTACAGAATCCTTCTGTGATGCTGAGGAAGGCCAGAATCCAGATCCCAAGGCAACACTGCAATAGKCTTAACCACAAGACAGAAGAGCTTCATTTGCAGTCCAGGCTTTCTTTTTCATCTGTTCTTAGCCTTTCTGTCACTCTGCTGTTTCTGTGGGAAGAGTGGTCAGAATCCTGAAAATAGTGGTCCAAGTGTTTTATGTACAGCCCCAATTCACCATCAGCATGAATCCATTGTGTGTACAAAAACACATGGATGTCAGGTGGAAAACTGTGTCATCATGTAATTAAGGATGTTACCTTAATATGTATGCATAAGGCGGAAAAGGAAAGTTGTTGCAGAAGTTTTACATCTCATCTTTTGTGCAATATTATTTTTTTGATGTAGTGTTTGTTGTATCCAATTTCCTACCAATTTTTTAAAAAATGGTATTATGCATTTCATGTTGGAGTTGGAAGCTTAAGATTCATGGTGAGGGTGTCTTGCTTTAGTTAATGCAGTAACTAATACATGAAATATTTTCAATTTGTGTTCWTTGCTACTGTTAATTAGTATTGCTGAAACACATTGCATGGCTTTGCTATGGAGGAGGAATAGGGAGGGGAACAAGAGACTTCTTGGCAGTGAGACGTGAACATTCAAGAGTCTGCCCCTTTTTCCAAGACTGATTACACCTACTCTGTTGTTATCCAATCCTTTCTGCTAGTCTGCAATGTGACTCTGGGCATCATTGTTCATAGGTTTTCTCTAGTCCATAGTTTTTGTTCACAGTTCCTGTCCCCCAACCTTACTGAYTAAACTCCTTACCTGGCTGATTGTGTTTACTCTCTTCCTGTTGCTCCTGCTTGATGCTT